CTATCTATCTATCTATCTATCTATCTATCTATCTATCTATCTATCTATCTATCTAGCTATTATATACATTTATTATACATTGGCGTCCAAAACGAACTTGTAAGTGTAATCACTCATTGGACTACCCTCTCATGCAGCATACCAATTCAAATCTGAACAAATCCTGCATAATCTGACATAATATAATAATGATTCATCTATGTTAAGAGACGCACATGATATGGTCATTCAAAACTAACTGTCAAAAATCGGGCTTCGAAAAATTGTACGAAATCAAGCTAATGTAAAAGTTTGTTCACGAGTATATTGAAGTACATTAACATTTGTGGAAAGGACATGTATATAATATCACTTGAAAAGAGAATCTTACTATCTCTGCAAAGAACAACATTTGTTTCTGATTAAATTTTTTTAACAGATTGGGAAACACAGCAATCGCAGATGCCACGCAAGACCTGGACTTAACATTCCATTTGCCTATTAGTAAAGTTTTGTTTCAGATCTGTTGGTTTTGTGCAGAACACGAAACCGGTTTTTTTGTGTGGCATACATGGACTGTGCTAGTTAGATTTTGGACCTAATCATCTGAACAGAGTCCACGAAGCTGCCATTGTGTAGGGTGGTCTGGGGTGGAAAGAAGAAAACCGGCTTGATTTTTGTCGACTACATCGAGTAAGTGCTGGAACATCATGACTTACCTTTATTTTCATCATGGTGTCATTCAAATAGACTCCATCCATAGCAAAACACTTTCTCACAGGGCCAATGCCACTAGACATTTTTTGGAAAACCAAATCAAAGTTAGATTGGTCACAAGTAAATAGCCCCAATATGAAGGGCATAGGTATGTGAAGTCCCACGTAATAGCAGCAGAAGAGAAGCGACTGAGCTCCTCATTCAGATCTTTGTTTTCAACTCTCGGTGTCATTTGGGATGAAATTACAGATATTATGTAAACATTTAATAGAGTCAGTGCCCAAGTGTCTCGTGTTCTACACAAAACCAGTGCCTTCTAAGAAAACTAACAATGAGCACATAATATAATGTTAAGCCAAAGTTTTGCGTGGTATGTTGTAATTGCTCTATTTTTCGCTTTGTTTGAAGATATCGTTACAAAATATAGTTTATTGCAGGGACAAAATACTCAATTCATTGGATATGCAAGGTACGTTCATTCTTTCAATATTGATGCTCCTCAATGCGCGCGTGAAGACAGTCTTATGTTGTTTTTCAATTTCGCACAATATTGCCAAGCCTGAATTTTTAATGACAATTTTGAGAGACCATATTTTGGATGTCTCTTAATATAAATGCATTACTATTATTATGACAAATGATGCAAAGTTTATTTAGCTTTAAATTGGTATGCTGGATGAGTGGGCAGTGCAAGGCTATAACGCTTTGTTTGGGTGATTGCATTTTCAAGTTTATTTGGAGCGTCCAAAAGAAATTTGAAAAGTAATCACGCTGCCACCGTATTAAAACGTCTCACTACCCGTTCAGACAGTAAAGCTTAATAAATTCTGCATCATCTGACACATTAATCATTCATCTATGTTATGAGACGCTCGAGATATGAGCACTCAAAACTGACCTTAAAAATCAGTCTTAGCAAAATTGTGCGCAATCAAAGAAATGTAAAATTATCTTCGCGAGTGTAATGAGCGAGAAGTATCAATATTTATAGAAATGGACATGAATTTTGTCTCTGCAACAAACAATATTTCATAACAATATCTTATCACGATAGTCTCCAACAAAATAGAAAATAGAGCAATCTCAAATACCAAACAAAACTTGGACTTAATATCAAATGTGCTCATTGTTAATTTGCTCAGTGGCTGTTGATTTTGTGCTGAACCTTAGGGCATCGACTCTGTTAATTTTGAACATAATTTTTTGTCATTCTACCCCAAATGTCATAGTGAGTTGCAAACAAAGGGCCTGAATTGGGAACAAGGTCGCTTTTCCTAAGCTGCTGTTTTATGGGACTTCATATACCTGTAGGATTCAAATTGGGGAAATTTATTGGTAACCACCCAAACGTTGATTTAATTTCATTTTCAAAGAATTCTCTAGTGACAAAAACCCTTAGAGAATGTGCTATGCTATGCATGGAGATGTCTACTTGAATGACACCAGAACGAAAATAAGGATAAGACATGATGTTCGAGCACTTGCGCAATGGAATCTACTGAACCAATTAGTCATCCTGTGATTCTGGGGAGGGCGGTTTTACCGCTAACCATCCCAAACCATGGCACTTTCGTGGCCTTCTTTCCTCACTGACAGATGCTTATGATTAAAATCTAACTAAAACAGTCCAATGTGCAAAAAGTTTCGCGCTCGACACGAAACTTAAACAAAACCAAAATTAAAACTAATTGACATGCGAAACTGTCTAGTTCAGGTTTTACAAGGTATTTGTAACTCCTCTGTTTTCCTATCTTTTTCAAAACATCAGAAGATGCTCTTCATTGCTGAGACAATAATATTCTCTTTTCATTTGATATTCATTACAAAATGCATTTCATTGCAGAGCCAATAGTATTGTCTTTTCATTCGATTTTCAACACAAGTCCATTCTACCACTGTTGATGCAACTCAATGTATGTGCAAACACACTATTACGATTCTATGATTTCGCACAGTTTTGCCAAGTTTAATATTTTAAGGTCAATAATGAGTGACCATATTCCAGGTGTCGTTTAACATACACAATTTTTTATTATGTCAGACGATACAGAATTTAATTAGTTTTGATATGATATGCTGCATGAGCGGGTAGTAAAACGATATAACACAATGACTGGGTCATGACATGTTCAAGTTTCTTTATGACGCCACTTTATTAATAATAATAATAATAATAATAATAATAATAATAATAATAATAATAATACTAATAATAATACTAATAATAATAATAATAACAATAATAATAATAATAACAATAATAATTATTATAATAATAATTATTATTATAGTGAACCTCCCCCCTCCCCCCTCCCCCCTCTCTGACACTCCGCTATTTTTATGACATCACTATTATGCCCTACAACAGTGTGCCCACTCACGCGCAGTTGACCCTGCTGGCGACGTCACAGTTCTCTATGTCCGGGTTATAGAGCAGGTTCCCAGGACACGTTTGTCGAGTCTCGCCCTCACTCCGGGAGCAGAGGAAGAAGGAGTCACAACTGTTGCAGTCTGGGTACACTCCTGGGGCCGTGTTGGTACATGACGTCACACAGAAAATGTCGCTGAGAGAGAATAGCGATGGCAAGCTGCTAAAATGTACTAAGCCCAGGAAGCAACAATTTTCAAAAGGGAAATGAAACTGTTTTATTCTTTCAACAACTGCACCTTGCTTTTTCTTGTCTATTTTTCTCTCAATTTTTAGAGTTACAATTTTGACAATTATGTTTCTTGAGCACGCGCAACAGATATCGAAGAATTAAAAAAAAAACTGCAATAAAAGTATATATGAAAAATACAGTTTTGGATTTAGTACATTTTAATATCTGGCGACGATATGTAAGTTGCAGCTCACTGGGGGAGTATTTTTAAACATTTATTTGTTTTATTGATTTGTTAATTTATGTGATTTAGGTGTGCAGATTAAATAACTAATTAATGAATTATTATCTTATTTTCTTATCCATTTATTCACCTATATGCTCGTTTTTTTATGTATTTTATATATCTTTACGGTTAGTATTTGTTTATCAGCTTCGTTTCTTTTGCGATTTGCCTGTCTGCTTTTCTGCCTTTATCTAACTGTTGTTGATGGCTTATTCACCCATAACAAGGCGTAAGACATTTTATAAAACTTCGCTTTATTTTTCCTGACACGTTTTAGCAAAAGCATACTACAAACATATATACAGTACGAGAAACACAGTAAAGCAACCGGAGAGGAGGAATTATGCAATGTTACAAACATTTGAGCTGTATGAGTCATTACACAAATACTAAAGAGAAAAAAGGAAGACATAATTATATTTTTTTAAAAGAGGCTGATTGAGTATGTTTGAATGTATGTTCATGATAACAAAATGAGAATAGATTATTTTTGAACTTCAACTAACATTATGCTTTAAGCCTCCCGGTGTATTCAAATATTACCTGTGTAGTAGACTATTTTAAGATTTTCTGATTTAAATAGCCTACTCTTGAGCTTTGACCAAAAAGAGAATTTCATTTTGAGAACATTCTGTTGTAAAATCGTTTTGTCTCGGTTGAGTTCATTTAATAATCTATTCACTAGTGGCATCTGTCTAGCTCGCAGAGATAAAACTAATACTGCTATGGTTGCTGCTGCCCATGCCGATGATGATGATGATGATGATGATGATGATGATGATGATGATGATGATGATGATGATGATGATGATGATGATGACGGCAAAGGCTATTGTACACGTACATGAAGCTTGTAGCTAATGACGTCATACTGGTCAAGCTGATTGATGTGTGCGGGCTAGTTACAGACTCCGGCGATGATTCTGACTTTGTAGAGGTTTCCGAATTCTGTGACGACATTGACTGCACTGACGGCAGCGAGGTTTCTGAACTCACTGACGTCCTGGATCTTCTAGACGTTGGTGAAGTATTCGAAACTTTTGACAAAACTGAGGTCAATGACCTGGGTGAAGTTCGAGAAGTGGCCGATAAGGGCGATCCTGGTGACGACTGTGACTTCAGAGAAAGCAGTGACGCCAAACTTGTTACTCTTGCGGATGCACTGGTTATGGACTGCGCACTGCTAGTTCTGTGAAGGAGAACAACTAAATATAGGAAACTTTGGAATCTCCTCCCATGTAGAGACCAGACAGGCTTCAACATTGCAAGTCCTAAGGGTAAAGAGACAGAACATAAGAAAAATATTGGCATGGTACTGAAAGAGTTGATGGGAAAAGCAACAAAAAAACAAACAAAACCCACTGGCAATAGACCGAGATGAAATGAGTAGGAGGTAAAGCAAAAACCAAAACCAAAACCAAAACCAGAAAAAAGCAGACCCAACCCCAAGAACAAAATTTGAAATGAAATAGAATGAAAATAAATTTTATAAAAACACACCCAAATAAGCAAACAACAACACCGACATGCCTTGTCGAGTTGTTGGAACATGTTCGATTCCTAATTATGGCATTGTAGGTCATATTCCTTCTTGGGTAATTTCTTCAGAAAAGTTTGGGTTAGGGCAGATTTTGCGCCCCTCCATTGACTGTACGCTCCCGGTTTTATCGGAGAGATTTTGTGACTATATTGTAAACATCGACCTAAACCACACTCCATTGCCCTATACCATTATATAATAATTGTAGGCTTGGTACACCCTACATCTGTACTATTCAGGCCAACTGCGGGTAGTAGGGACATAATGATCCTTCGCCGAGACCGCGATACTCGAGGACAGCCTCCCAACACTGAAATCAAACTCACCTCTTCCTCATGCGACGTTGGAGAGCTTAGTTCAACTACAGAACAAACGTCGTTGTACCTTAGTATGGTATCACTGGTAAAATTGAACATTCTGTAGGGGTGTCGTAGGTGATACTGTGCTTGACTTGCAATGGGGATGCTCAGGACTTGATTTTTAAGAAAGATCGAAATGTTTCTCACTTTACCCCCCCCCCCCCCCCCCCCCCCCAGCTAGATTTGATATTGTCTTTTGTGGGGTTTTTAACTTAAACAAAATAATAGCAGCGCCTACATTGATGCCCTTCTGAGCCCTGACCACCACATTGTCAATATGTCCTCGGAACGAAAGTGTCCTGTCCAGAGTGATTCCCAGGTACTTCAGCTCATGCCGTCTGTCTATGAGAAAGTGGTCAAACACAATTGGAGGCGTAGGATCTTTCACAATTCGGTTGTTGAGTGAGCACCAGATGACCTGTGCTTTGTCTGGGTTGATGACCGCATTGTATTCCTCACACCAATCTGCGACCTTGTTCAGCGGGAATTCAACAGAGAGTTCTTTTTCTCCTAATGCAGCTGGTGGTTCTGTCAGTCATAGACTATGGGCCGGGCATCCTCTCCCTGTCCAAGACTCAGATAGACAGGTTGGAGAGAGTACAGAATGCAGCTATGAGGGCCGTTCTGGGTTGCACAAAGGACACCCTTGTTGTCTGTATGACATACATCCTTGACCTGGCCAGCATTAGAGTGAGGCATAAGGTGGCTCAGGCAAAGTTTTACTTGAATGTTTTGGGAGACCCGAGGCACCTTTTGCATGACAACCTGGGCAGCATCAAAGGAAACAGGATCAAACGGGGCAGTTCATGGATTGCAGAAGTTGAAACTCCTTGAGGAAAGTTTGTGGCATCGATGAAATATGCTGTGGAAAGGAGTGGTTTGAACTGAGCCCCGATTGCAGAAGCCTGGCCAACGTTCACATCACTATGGGTCGTGAAAGACGGGAATGTGCTGCTGTCATTAACGACAATAATATACGACAGTTAATTGAGGAGCATTCCAAGCCAGAGGACCCAGTGATCTATACGGATGGATCAGTCAGGAGGGGTGAGAGAAGTGGATGGGGTTTTGTGGTGTTCAGTGGGAACAAAAAAGTTCATGGCATATCAGTGGCTATAGAAAGAACAACTTCAAGCATGAAGATGGAGATTGAGGCCGTAACAAAGCGCTTGGATGGCTTCATAATACAAGACCAAGAACTACCCATCTCATCGTTGTCACAGACTCTCAGAGCATCCTACGAAGGGTTGAGAAAGGGCTGCTTCGGAGTGAATGGATGAACCCCATACAACACTCATCACTTAGAGCCATCACGTGGGTATTCTGTCCTGGGCACTCTGGAGTGAAAGGCAACGAGGAGGCTGATAGGCTAGCAGGCAGTGCCGTGGTTGATGGTAAGGTGAAATTTGACAAAGGAGAAGTGTTGAAGACCCTGGAGAAAAAGTTGCGGGATGAAGAAGACAGGGAGATAGCAGAACACCACGCAATCATTAGGATGCGGGAAATGGGGATAGAGAGGGGGGAAGGAAGAAAGGGACGATTGTCTGGAAAGGAAAGACGTCGCCATAACCAGACAGCCACCGGAACAATCAGTATGGATACCTTGCGGGCTTTGGTGCTGGGGGGGAACTGAGAACTTATGGACCTGTCCGGTGTGCAATGACGTTGTTGCCCAGGACAGGTAATACAGGTAGTACAGCAGCACCTGCACTGCTTTTACAACAACGATAACAAGGGGCGGCTCGTGGGGCTAAAAAGTTGGCGTGCGCAACTGTAGTTAAGCTATGGCATGCTGAAAATAGCCAAGGGCATAGTAAATGAGACGGTGTATAATTTTAGGATCTTTGGGTTGGTGAGGGAGGGCCTCGTGGTTTTATTTTCATTCTTTTTATTTGTCGCTTTGATTTCTAGTACTAAATTCGTTAGCTAGACCTAAACATTAATTTTGTTCATCCTGCATTGGAACTGAAAACTCAAGTACACGTAATTACTTTCACTACTCCACTACAAAACCATTCAAAGGCACAACTCATAGGACGGTCACGTTCACCTCCCTCAGATTCACGGCTACAGAGTCACTTACAATAGTGGCAAGACAAACAATGAACCAATCACAATTCACTTGAGCACTCCGCTGGATTGCTCGGGGCTCACATAATATTGGCAAAGAAGAGCGTAGGGTCTGTCGTGTTTATTTTTAGACTGCCTACTGTGGGCTATGTTTCGGCACTGCGCTTTTCCCTTTCGTCAACCCGCAGCCACCTCCCGAATCGTCAGCCACCTTCCAACCTTTGGCACAGGTCAAACTTCCATCTATTTATAGGTAGTTAAATCTACCGGAAAATATATTAGGCGAAGTGATGTGCAATGATAGTCGCAATAGAGAGATTGTTTTGGTCTCTCTTTACTTATCTGCACCACACGAATTTAATTGATGTTTTTCCCTGGACTCTGCCTTTACTAAAGTCTCGAATCTAGATCTAGTTGAAATCTAGTTGCAGGTTGCAGATTTAATAAATTGCCGACAGACAGAGAGGGGGAGAGAAAGAGAGAGAGAGAGAGAGAGAGAGAGAGAGAGAGAGAGAGAGAGAGAGAGAAGGGGCAGGAGTAGATCTTGTGAGAACTTCCGGGCAAAACAAAATGGCGACCCGCGTAGTTCGGCTCGATTCGAAAAGTGAAAGAGCCATAGCATCTTTGTAGACGATCAAATTAGCTTACTTTTGTGCTACGACGTCATTTTTTTCTTTGCTTTTGTCAATTTGATTATCCACACCGATAGAAAGTATTTCGAAATTAGGAAAAACAGGTCTTGTTTCACACTGGGCGAGAATAGCCAACGCTGGCAAGTCTCACCCGGGGTGAGAGGTCAATCGTAGGGTTTTTATTCTCACCCCGGGTGAGGATAACCAGTCCACTCCCTTACTTAAATGATTAGGTGATTAAACTTGATCTCTTATTGACAATATAAAAGTCAATTTAAGCTTCATTTTGTTAGAAAAAAATGTGTTAGGTTTGCTAACTTCTTAGATTTTGTGTTAAACAACACTTTTAACAAAACGAATCCTTACAAGCCTAGGCTTGGCCTTTGTAATCTCGAAGGTTTAGAAGTAGAAGTAGAAGAGTCTACTACTAGAGTCTAGTCCAATTTATTTAATCTCTTGAATGTACTGGATATCAGAAATCTGCAACCTGCCACTAGATTATAACTCTAGATTTAGATCTAGATTCGAGATTTTAGTAAAGGCAGAGTCCAGGGAAAAACTTCAAGAAATTCTCGTGGTAATGAGTAAAGAGAGACCAAAACAATCTCAATAAATAATATATCGCGACTATCACAGCACATCCCTTCACTTATACATGTTCCGGTAACTACCTATAAATAGATGGAACTTCGACCTGTGTCAAAGGTTGGTATGTGGCTGGCGATTCGGGAAGTGGCTGCGGGTTGATGAAAGGGAAAAGCGCTTCGGCACTATTCGGCAGGAGCACATTTGAGATGTGCCGGCTTATTAATATTAATGTACCTCCAAACTCGCTACGAGTGTCGTCATCGCTTGGGTTATCCACAAGAGCGATTTATAGGTCAGGTTACATTGTTGAATATCCTTTTCTTTTTAGCTAAAGCGCTTGGACTTTGGCACGGCATTGTAGATGTTTTACGGCGCTATAGACATAGAAATGACGGTTATGGCGCCATTGAGGACCTTTGTTTCGATGCATTGTATAATATTTGGCTAGTGTTGGTTTCTGGCTTCTTTTATTTTTATTATTGTGGGTGTTTTACGTAATAGAACAATCAAAACTTTGGGGCTGCACTGCACGACCGTGCTCTAGGGACGAACGGCGCATGACAATAACAGTAATAACAATTGCAACAACAATAAACACAAACAGTTAACGGAAACACCATCACCACAACGACAACGGCTACAAAGAAAACGACAGCAAGTATTGACCAAATATTAACAGCAACATTAACAATAAACTATATGTCTCTACCAACCTGCAGTCTGCGAGCTGTGGGAAATCACAAACTCCTCTGACAGCGTCATAGTTGAGAATGCCGGAGCATGGTGCGCTGCTAAGGACGCCATTGGCACAGTAAACGAACTGCCGGCAGGAGAAACAGTTAGCGTATTGGCCTGTGGCCCTACCAACGCAACTGGTCGTGCAGAAAGGGACTGGAATAATAATATATGGTCAATTATTAAACGAAATAAGCTTATCTAGTTTTCCCTGAAATAAATCAGTATCGCTTTACTGCTTTGAGAACAGTTCAGTTCAGTTTTGCCAAAGATATAATTGCCGTGTTTACAGTTTAAATACAATTTAAAAATAATTTACATTTTGTTTGGTCTTGTTTTTGTTACCACTACGGCACATCTCTTTTAATTTTTGCTGAATTAAGAGGCCGGAACATTATAATTATTAATGCATCATCATCATCATCATCATCATCATCATCATCATCATCATTATCATCATCATCATCATCATTATCATCATCATCATCATCATCACCATTGTCAACAACAACAACAACAACAACAACAACAACAACAACAACAACAACAACAATAACAACAACAACAATAACAACAACAACAATTGACTGAAACAGCAATAGCTACAACAACAACTACAGATACAATACTCGGGGAAGACTCACAGACTTGTAGCTGTGTCCAGGCCGGCGAGAAGAAGGACAAGAGTAGAGTGACCACCAGGAGCGCCGCACCGCCAGGTTTGAGTCTCGCGGCTGGTC